TATATATATATATATATATATATATATATATATATTAACTCAAATCGGATTCCTGTCTGAACTTGTATGATAAAATGAATGAATTATGAAGGTTGATATATTACCCTCAGTTGATGCTGAACAACATAGACCAACTACAAGTCAGAGACGCCGGCAGAAAATGTGTAGCCTTACGCACGGGGGATTGGAGTTATCACCTCCGTCCGTGGGGTTTAGGTCTGAGCATCCATCAAAATATCAGTATGAAAACTAAATTATGTGGAAAAACGCTACTCATGTGCGTAGTATTCGTAAAGGGGCGCGGTGCCCATTAAGATTTAAATATGTATGTAAAATTTATCAATCATTATGTTTGTCATGATGATAAGGTATTATTAGTATAAGGCCAGGTGGTTAGGGCACTCGATTCGCAATTTTCGGGTCGCAGGTTCGAATCCCCGTCACACCAAACATGCTCGCCCTTTCAGCCTTGGAGACGTTATAATGTGACGGTCAATCGCACTATTCGCTGGTAAAAGTGTAGCCCAAGAGTTGGCGGTGAGAGGTGATGACTAGCTGCCTTCCCTCTAGTCTTACATAGCTAAATTAGGGACGGCTAGCGCAGATAGGCCTCGTGTAGCTTTGCGCGAAATTCAAAACAAACAATCATTAGTATTAAACGATAATACAACTTTTATCGTTATTTAACTCGGGTGAAACATGCAGAAAATAGGATTTCGTTTAAAGAAAGCATACGCATAATATTACCGTTTAAAACTTATATTTTAATCCAGGTGTCTCATTCTGAAGCAAAGACAGACAGTGATATATTACTCTTTGTCAAGTGACTACCATGTCGTTTTATATTCTTGCTACAAACATTAGAGTTTCCGTCACTCTTGACCTCAGTTTCCACTTTCCTTCCGCTATAAAAGATTTTATTTCTGCAAACACCGGAACGTAGGAAATGGAAAATCCCGCGTTCCGGTAGCGTTTCTTTCCGCTCGTCTTCTGACTCATGATCGCTACTCACTGGGCCACACGAAATGCAGCGTTCCTTAGGGCGACAAAATAAGCATAATTCATTAACATGTGGCGGGAAAGGGCGCTCTAACGTACGCTGATTGGTGGCTATAATAGTACGGAAACACATGAGCCACTTGGCACACAGTCCGGACGTCATAACTCGTAGAGAACGCTGATTGGCTGCGACCGGTTGGAGACGTGTCAGCAGCTATGTGGTTGAACGCCGCTGTTAAACGAGCGTTTATAAAGACTGCTGGAGCTAATCGATCAACTCATGGCGAGTGTGTTGTGTGTGAGTGGACGTGGCTGCAGAGATTTCGATAACCAGTGTTGCCGCAACTAGAAGTGGGACAAACTTTCTTGTCACCCTCGTCGCCAAAGCTTTTCCAAGCATCTTTCGCCGATAACCCCTAACATAGCACGTTGATTTTAATCATTACAATCATTTCCCGAAGTGCCCGTGTAGCGGAGCAGGCCGAAAGCACGTGGACCTGTGGGGGCCGGTGTTTATGCTGTTCCGCGGCCTTTGAAGGGCTGGCATTGACAACCGTGGCGCGAGACGGAGAGTGTCCTCATCAACTCCCGTGTCGCTACGGGACCGCGGATGTGTGCCGGTTGTGGATGCAGACTGGGAAGCCGACAGACTTTTTTCCGTGTAATAACGGTTCGCCCATAGCAAACTTACCCATGCTTTTCACTGGTAACGTATTTAACATTATTCTAATTCCTTAATAAAAAGCTCACATTTTTATCTATAAAAGAAGAACGTAAAATCTGTCCATTTTGGGTTACTCTTACTTCATATAAAGAACGTCATGTTTCCCAGCGTTAAAATCACTTCATTCAAACTGTCTCTCGTCTGTACTCAAAAATATGTAGTACTGAATATATATTTTTCATAAGATACATTCGAGCACTGTGTAAACAAAAAGGTATTAAGTCGTTTCTGTTTTGTTTTGTTTGGGGGGAGGCGCTCTAGTAGTTACCATACCCGGACTGTGTGTCTGGAAATTTATTATCTGCATCCCGCTGGCGTAAAAAACAGTTCGAGAATATATGCCACTTAACACTTTCGAGTGTGGATGCGTTATAAAAGTGACAGTAAATCTAGTTATTCGGTTCATAATCGAACAAAGCGCTTGTGGTAGTAGGTGTTGCTGACTGCTCGCCTTCATTCTGATCAGTTGTTCAAAATTAGGGGCAGCTGTATCTGAAAGCCATTAGTCTCTGACCTGGCGCTTTAACTTGAAAAATTATAAACCTACAATTATATCGCTTTCTTCATCGTATAATAAATTTAAAGAGAAATAATAATAAAATATAGTAATATTGGGAAATTTAATTATAGT